AGAGATTCTTTATTTACAGCTATTTGCCATACTAGGTTGCCTACAAATGCAACATTCCATTTCCCACACCCTTTTATATTGAGACCTCCTTGCCTCTTTGGACAGCAAACCTTTTCCCTAGACACCAATGAAACTTTCTTTTTTTCACCACTTCTCCCCCACAAATAGTCCCTACATTTCTTGTTCACCTCCTTTACTACACTTTGAGGAAGTATAAATACTGTGAACTGAAAACAGCACAGCCAACACAATTTGAAGCCTCCCGCATAGGAAAGTTGCTTTGCATAAGTGTTTTTAATCCTACTTGTAAGTTTATCCACAAGTTGATGACATGACATTCCATTTTACTCCATCTCTTTAAAGTAGTGGGAGGCCCAAGTACCTTATAGGGAAAGCACCTTTTGTAAATCCAGTTATACTCAACAGATGCTTTTCAGTTTCTTCGGTCATTCCTGCTAGGAACAAGTTTGACTTCTCCATGTTTGCCACAAGCCCAGTAGTACCACTGAAATGAGTCAAAACTTCCATGACTCTTTTGACAGCTTTCCCTTCTTTGTTATATTATATATTCATCCGCTTTTTCAATGACTCTTTGTTTTATCTTATTCTAAGTATTAGTTTGGATTTGTGTTGAGTCATAACCGCTTAAAATTGTTAGTGCTTTTCTCTTTTGCAATTAAATTAGTTGTCGTCTTTATTTGCTCATCTTACTTTTTGCCTCAATTTAGATTCAGTTTCTTTTATCCTCTATAACTTGATTTGCATCGAATTTTTGGTTATTTGTTTACGGGTTATATCTATTTTCAATGTTAACGGTTTAACAATGAGATAATAAAATTGATATTTTGCATCCACATTGGCTACTGCTACTGGTCATCACTCATTCGACCGGGCCTAACACAATTGAACTCCAAACGTATCACTCTATCCCCATTTAATTACCGGCATCCATTAATTAAGAATTTTTTTTTCAAAGGAGTCATCGATTCTTCTTTAATCAGTTCAGTACCATGACATTTGAACAATTACTATTCCCATTTTAGGTTCAGGGTGTGTTTGGTACGAAGGAAAATCTTTTCCTGGAAAACAAGTTGATTTTTGACTTATTTTCTCATGTTTGGTTGGTGAGTAGAAAATATTTTTCGAAAAAAAATTTTAGTGTTTGATTTATGAATGAAAAACATCTTTTATTTTTACTAGAGTAGAAAAAAAATTTTTAAAATTAAAAAATTTTTTAAAAAAACTAACTTAATTTTTTTTTGGGGTGGGGGGAGGTGGTAGGAGGTGGGTGAGGGGGGGGTCGAGGGTAGGGGTGAAAATTGAAATTTGAAATTGAAAATATTTTTGAAAAACAAACGTAAAATTATTTTTTGGGTAGGGGTGGCGAGTAGGGGGTGGGTGAGTTGGGGTGGGGGGTCGAGTGTAGGGGTGAAAAAATAAAATTTTGAAGTTGAAAGAGAGTTTTGAAAAATGTTTTCCTTAAGTTTTGAAGGGAAGTCATTTTTCTTAAATTTGAGGAAAATAAGTTGATTTAAAAAACATTTAACCCAACCAAACATGAGAAAATTGGAAAACCTTTTCCGAAAAATGTTGGAAAATGTTTTCCTTCATACCAAACACACCCTCAATTTTGGGAGCAAATGAAAATATTACGTTGAATTAGCATGACTAACAAGGAAAACTAGTACTATTACTTTATTCAAAGCTTTATTTTATTAGTATTGATATTATTTTACAATATCATGACTTGCATATAGATGTGCTAGTTTAGGCAAACAAAAAACAAAATCAAACATAGATGGTTATTCTTGAAAGAGGGATGGGAGAGGCTGGAGTGAGTATTATTAGCTAGTAATCCATTGGTCCATAAGGTTGGAACCACTCAGCCCAAAAACCGTTTTTCCTCTTTGGGTTCCATCCCATGTCCTTGCAAAGTTGGTCATTGTGCCAAACGTGCAATGCAGCGATGCACGATTTCCTATAGTACTTGTTATATGAATATCTCTTCTGGTACTTATCCCACTCCGCTATGTCTTTTTCCATAACTTTGATGCTAGGTACCTTGAATTTTCCATCAAGAAGCTCTGCCAGCCACCGACACCTTATTTCCGATGTGTATAGAGTAGCTATGCTTTCTGAGAAACCAATTATTGCAACTTGTGGAATCTGGGGATAAATGCATTCCCTAATTATTTACACATGACAGACATGATGAATGAGAGAGATGACATGTATATGCTTGCAAAAGTAATTGTTTTTTCTTACTCACCTATAAAGGGGAACTGTAGCAGAATCATCTGAGCCTGCTATGAATTCTTGATATTTTGTTGATTCAAATATGTGTTTGAGCTTATCAATTCCCTTGAACCCAGTAGCTAGTATGACTAACTCCGATTTTATTGTTTCGGCCTCACCCTCGAGCACGATACCTTCTTTAGAAAATCCAAAACACTCTGCTTTCTTGATAAGCTTTATACTTCCCTCCTCAACTCTGTCGTAGAAGCCTTCTGGAACTACAGCAACTGAACATTCGTTTAAGATGCTATGCTCCGGCACCATTCCATATTTTGCAAGCCTGTTCTTGTGTTTTATATAACTTTCTACATATTTTGATAAGGCCCACCTCTGTGAAATGGAAATGTTAATTTTGTTTTGTGAGAGGAAAAGTAGAAAACAGAGCAGTTAGTTACCAATGGTGAAAGCGTTGTGGCGAGGAGACTTAAAAGAAGGCCTTCACCAGGCTTATGCACCATAAGTTCGGAGAATCGACTTGAGTACAGATATCCCAATTTAAGTCCCCATGGGGAAAAATCAGCTGGAAGGTTCCAATGCGGGGTCCTGATTAGTACCGTGCATGGACGTTCAACCCCTGCAATTAGTCCTAAGAATCAATCTGAAGAATTAAGAGGAAGAGATGCAATATGATGAAAGATGACAGAGAATATAATTAGTAAATAATAAAAGTCACACACTTGAACAACTAACAGCTTGAGTGTGCTGCACTACTTACCATTAACGGTAGAGCACTCCATTGCAATGTCCATTCCTGATCTCTGAAATCCAACAACGGCTACTTGTTTTCCTTTGACAAAGTTGGTTGCAGTTTTGGAGTCCATCTTGGAATAGTCCATTGAATGGATTACTTGGCCCTCAAAAGCTTCAGGGCCATTGCTTGGACGAAATTCAGGCATGTTTGCAACCTGGCTGAACCTTCCCACGCAAACTACTACAAAATCAACTTGGTATACCTGCACGCACTTTCAATTTTCAACCAACCACGGGACATTATACTACAAAATCGTTATGCTCCTAGATCTGCGTGCTTAGCTTACGAGCAATCCTTAAACACTCTCCGAAAAATTAATGAAGAGGAATTTTTTTCAATATTTCTTTGTATACATCTCATTTTCATAAGTTGTTGTGATTATTTGACTTGGCATATCTGAAGAAAACAATTATTGATATAGGTAACATATTTGAATAATAAGTGAACGGAGGAGACAGATTTGAAGAAATCGTCTATTAATCTTCTCTTAAATTTATAGTATTTGGTAATTAAGCGTTCTACTTGCCTGTGTAGAAAGGGTTGGAGTGTCCTGTACGGTGACGTTCCACTTGCCTTTACACAAATTCCATTCTCCAGCTCCATTAATTGATGAACTGCTGTCATCTTCATAGCTTAAGCTCAACACTTTGGTATTGAACTTAATGTGTCGTACCAAATCAAAGTGAGTTGCGTACGATTCAATGTACTCCAGCACCGTTTTATGGTCAGGGCACATTTCGGTTACGGAATCAGGCCAGGGGAAATCAGAGAACTGGTAAACCGGTTTTGGTGTCTGCAGCTTAGTGCTCTCAATGGTCTTAGTCCAAACACCTCCAATGCTACTCTCTGACTCAAACACAATTGGATCAAATCCTTTAGAAATGCAGTATTTGCAGGCCAACAGTCCGCTGATTCCAGCACCAATTATGGCTATCACCTCTTTCTTTCTGTCATTAAAATTTGCCATTTGGTACTGTCTCCTCTTTTTGATTGATAGCTTGAACTGCTCTACCCTTTATAGCTAATATGTGTATATTGAGCAAGAATACGTGGCTCACCTCCGGAGATATCTGCATTATTAATCTTTGTATCCCAATTTCCATGGTCCAATTAATCTCAATACCAACTACTTTTAGTAAATATCTGGAGTGGCTACTTAATCAGAACACGCAATCCTCAGAAGTTTTGTTTGGGTAGAGTCCACAATTCCGTCTCAAAATTTACATTTGAAAATCGTGTTATATAGATATGGTGCCCGCATTTGAAATTTTTTGCCTATACATTTGACTTTATACTAATTATAACTATTGTTTTTATGTGATAAACAGAAATATCTTTATCAGATCATTTGTTGTAATCAAATTGTACTTGGATCTTATCCCCCAATGTGCAATGGCCAATACCAACTAACCATATAATTACTCAATTGAGCTTCCAAATGCATCGTGTAACTGTAAGATATAAGCCTGCCTGCAACTCCCTTAGGATTAGAAAAGCAAAATCAAATTGTTCTGCCATTAGATACAAATAATAAGCATATCTGGGGCCAAACAATATAATGGGGAGAGTTGAGGAGGAATTTTGCCAAGTAATTTCCACTTTCCTAATTTTATTGCTACTTGGAGGCTTTGTTCCGCTAGGGGTGTTCTCGAGTTAGAAATGTGAACTGTAAAACATTTGTCATCGTACTAATTAGGTAATGGAGGAGAATAAAAATTTAAAGTTCTTTTTAGAAATTAACTTTGTCCTCATTGAGGAAAAGTTTTGTGCATAGTAAATATATCATATTACCCTTATGTAGAAGTGACACTTGAAAAGGACCAACACTGCAGTAATTTGTTGTACTCAACGCAGTACTCATTGTACATTTTTGAAAGGACCAACAATGCATCTTTCTATTGTACTAATGGTAGTACTAATTGTACATCAATATAATAAATAAACCCACTTTCTCTAGAACTTTCTTCCTATGTCTCGCTAAATTCTAACCCTAATTTGTCGCCTCCTTCGTCAACTCCGACTATTCTCTCAACTCAAATTGTAGCCCTAATTCCTCGCCTCCTTCGTCAACTGCGACTATTCTCTCAACTCTTCCTTCTATACTTCTCATCTGTTGAATGCCCAATCCGTCTGCTCCGTACTTGTTCTTCTTTGTCTGCACAATTTAAATCTGTCTCTCAAGCTTTCCTGAAGACCGCTCTTTGTTTCCGACGACCTGCGCAGCTGCTTGTTCATGCTTTAAGTTTCTGTCCTTCTTGGTAAAGTCGTTGTATTCTCTCAACTCTTCCTTGTACTTCTCAACTCTTCAATGGCCAATCTATCTGCTGCTTACTGTTTTCTGTTTGGTTAGAGAGTTCAAATCTGTCGGTGAAGCTTTCGTCAACATTTGTCTTTGTTTCCGAAAACCTGCGCAACTATTTCTTCGTCGTTTAAGTTAAATTTACAGGTTTGCTCCATCAGTTGCTCTTACTCCTATTCCTAATTTCTGTTATCTTTTCCTCTTTATCCGATTGCTAATTGGTCTTTTGTGGAGTTTATTAAGCTATATTATACTCTATCTATGTATGTGCTGCAAACTTCTGCTGAATAATTGCATGCGTTGGTCTCTTGCACTGTTGTCACCATCGACCCACCACAGTCCCTACTTGGTCATAACAATTGTACATTAAATTTGTCAATATGTAGTTAACACTGCTCATAAGTGTTAAAGTATCTGTTAATTAAGGTACATTTGTCTTCATAAATTGGACCTGCATATTTAGACATAAAGTCGAGACAGAGACACGTGTCAAAATAAAAACTTTCACAAGTATTTCGGACAGGTACATACATTGTTTGCTGTAAAAATTTATTATACAAGATGAAATTATTACATCTTTTGTACTCACTGTGTGTTAATATTCGCTGTGCATAACAGGATGCTACTGTATTACCTGCTCTACAGTGTTCTTCTGATGTTACCTGCTTCAATTGATTTCATCAATAGGTTAGACTATTTCGCCGGAATATTACTGCTGGTTTAATCACATTATACCAACAATGTCACCTCAAATTCCCTGGTTAAACATACTGTCATTTGTCACATATGTTGTATTGACGCATGCTCGGTATTCAGAGCTTCTATATGTCTTTGCTTTCTTCTGCCTAAATACTTCTCCAAACAAATTCCTTACCAAAACCAAACAAAATATTCCATGTAATATAATTACAGATTCTTTCCATTTGACCCATATGTATTTGTAACTTATTTCATGTTGAATTTGCGGAAATTATATATGCGTAAATACTGACTTTATTTCACAGGTAATTGCCTGCAACTCAGCGCTACAAATACCACTGATACAGCAGAGTCTGCTGGCTTCACACCAACCTTCTCAGTATCACCACCTTAAACGCTAGCCACTCCACCAGATTCAGACACATCGCATACGTGATCGCAGGTAGCTTCTATGTTTTCTCCCATCATCTATATGCTGTTATACAGCCAGGAGGTTCTAATCCTTAGTTACAGTAAGTTTTGCTTCCCCTTCTTCCCCAATTTTTCGGTAATGTGTCGAACTCTTCAAAATAACCTATATTGGTAGTTTTTTCCATTATTCTTTCGATTCTTACGTTTTCTGTGGATTCTTAGGTTCAGTATCATAAACTGTATGTTATTTTCCTATATGCATGTTTGAAAATGTAAATAAATATGTATATAACTTTGATTCAGGTATAGTCTCTTCAAATTCAAAGGCATCAGATTTTGAATTTTGTGTTATTTGATGAGCAACACTCCAAAATATCGTTTGGTTGTCTGATTTCTATCGTAATACTTTTGTTTCTGTAAAATATTATGTACATGGTATGGTTTCCTCTTGGGATTTTGTTTATTGATTTCACAGGTATCGTTCCTTTTAATAGAACATAGACGGTTCAGCAAATTGTCATTGTGAACTTCTGTCACATGATTGATAGTGGCAATTCGGATCACCATGAATCTATGTTGTGGGTCTACTCGATCTGTAATATTGAAATTATGGGCATCAGACTGTTCTGTTATTTCTCCTAAGTTTCTTGGATTTATTTCATCTTTTGTGTTTGTGTTAAATTGAGTAATATTGCACATGTAGAGTTATTTCTCTCTATTTCTTGCTCTCATCCTTTGTAGGTCATGTGAATATAGTTCATTGTGGTATGAACTGAACTTTAGTCTATGAGTAAGTTGTTTTTTTTTTTTTTGGTATGAACTGAACTTTAGTCTCTGAAATAAGTATATCCATCTTCTTGTGTTTCAATACTGTGTTTTAGTCCAAAAATAGACAAACACCAAATACAGTTAAGGTAGCAATCTTTTTGAACTTTAATTTGAACAGCTTATTGCTTTGTTTGTGTCATTAAATCTACACCGTATGTCTCATTATTGCTTTGTTTCAGCTTGACTTTATGTTAAAAGAAAAATTAGATACGTAAATTAAAAACACTGCAGGTTGAAAAGTCATGTTCAGTTTATGCCTTTAGTGTTTCACATCTATTCCCTCCATTAACATTGGAATGTAATTTTTATTTATGCCTTTCAATGGAGATGACCCATTTCAGGGTAATTAGTCTGCTTTAGTTGTGTATCCTCCGTCTCTTTCAGATCACCTAGGATTGTTATAACTATAAAATTCTATTAATGCACATATATATAAACAGTTGTACAACTAAGTGCTAATGTATTAGGAAATATTTTCACAGTAGTAGTTGTTTCCATATTATACAATACACTTTTCCTTATGTACTTTTCTGTAACATCTATTGTGAGATCTTAACATCTCTGCCTTCCACCTTCTGCAGTTTAATCAAGATGTGATCAGACCAATCACTACTTACCATCGCACGTCCTCTGTTGAAAATTGAAATTTTAAAATCAAAGGACAAACAAGTTCCCAGTTTGTTCATCCAAAAGTACCTGATGAAGAAGTTGAATCTTTCTTACAAAAATGAGGTAATTAACTTCTTGTATTTTTGGCAATTTAGTAATCAATAAATATGATTAACATTTATTTACAATCCTACCTATTGTGATTTAAGTGCTGAAAAATTATGTAGGAGCATGAATTCCTGTAGTTTATTATTCTGTTAGATGTAGTGTGGTCCTTGTACTTTTAGGACTTAGTTTTCCATGCCAAAATATTATCAGTGCAACGCCAAAAATAGTTCGCGTCTCGAATTGAATCAACGCCAAAAATAGTTCAGATCTCCAGTTGGAATGAATTACTGATGTAAAAAGTTGCTTGCGAAGCAGGTTGCCGTCGCAACATCTTGCTTCAAAGCACTGGAAACTCCTTAAGCAAAATTATACGTATTGGGTTATCTGATCAATTTTTAGTAATTCTTCGTTTATTAAAACATATGCAATTCACGCTCTCTGTTTCAATGGTGTTTGGATTTGATAACTTTTTCAGAAATCAAAATTCTTCCCCAATTGCCACAAACTGATGCTATTGATCTTTTTTGATATGACATGTACCAATGTTTTTCTAAATTCTGTAAGAACATGAAGTTGGATCAC